CCATGAAGACTACTCTGACTTCATCATAAAGTACAACGAATACTAAAAAAATGTAAGATAATTTAGCTTGTCAAGATTGCAATTCACAGATCTTTTAAACAAATATGAAATGTTTATTGTGGGCTACAATATCATACAAAATATACGGAAAGTTATGGCCCCAAAAGACAATTAAACAAATACAGAATTTCCATTAACTCCACAAGAAATATTGGTGTCCAAGAACTAGGATCTATTAGATAAAATATAAATATTGTACAGGAACCTAGAATTTAAGTTACTAATAAAATATCCTTCAAAGGCATATTTTTTCTTACACTTCTCTGATCTTCCTCCAGCTCCTCTGAAAAGATGAAATACCAAATTGAAATGCCCAGTGAACAATTAAGGTAATTCTAAAACTAGGAAGAGCCCTTAAGACTTCTGGAACCCCTTCCTGACTCCTAAAACCAACCTGAAATCTAAGAATACACGGAAAGAGATTTCTTTCCTGTATGAGGGCTATAAAAGACCAAAGACAAATAATATAACTCGTTGAGTAAAAACTGTCAAGCATCTACTTCATCACTCTAATCTCTATAACTGGAATAAAAGATGACTTATAGCACTTGGATCAAGACACCTCCTGGCCTTATGATCCTGGGCAAGTTGGTCGCTCATTTATAGGACAGATAATACCTTATTTATTTTCTTTATAGTTAGGCACCTAGTAGACATTTAAATATTTATTAAATGGAACAATATAACATTGTAACTTAAACTAAACTATAATTCCCCCAATAAGTAGATGTTTGACAGGGAACTGGTAGAAAAGTGGCCACAGTCAGTCATTACTGTCCTGACTTCTAGTTTAAGATATGGCTATTTCAAAAGAATTTTCTATAGGAACTGTCTCCAATTCTTCCTCTTTATTCTCTCCTGAACCCAATCTAACCAGATTATTGATCTCACCACTTCACTGGAACAGCTCTTGCTGAGGTAGCCAGTGACCTCTGCACTGCTGAATCCAAAGTCAATTCTCAGAACTCATTGTATTTGAATCATCATCATTTAACCTAGCTGATAGCTTTCCCCTTTTTGAAACCCTTTCCTCACTTGACTTGAAAGAGAACGCCTTGTCTTGCTTTGCCTCTTACCTCACTGGCTGATCCTCCTCCATCTCTGTTGTGGCGTCCTCTTCATTTCTCTAACTCTTAAAGTTTTGGAGTCTCCAAGACTTAGCTTACTCTTCTCTCTTTTTACATTCATTCCCTTGATGAACTCATCTAGTTTTGTGGCTTCAAATTACCTGCTAAGTGCCAGGGACTCCCAAATTCCTATCTATAGCCCAAACCTTTCTTCTTGTAACCCCACATCTGAATAACCCACTCCTTACATACTAGCTATACAAGAATATTTACCAGCAAATATTTAGCATGACCAAACCCCCAAATCCTGGTGTTTTCCCACCAAGGCTTCTATTTGAAGCCTTACTATCTCTATAAATGGCAACTGTATCCTTTTAGTTACTGAGGCAAAATTTTTAGAATTATCTTTAATCCCTTTTTTTCTCTCGCAGCCCTCATTGAAACCATTAGTAAAATCCAATTAACTCCATGTTCAAATTAAATCCACTGTTATCACTCACATCTAAGCTACCACAACTACCCCTCTAAATAACTGATGCCTTCTAGACTATCCTCAGCACCACAAAGTGACCATTTTGAAATTCAACTCACATTATGCATTTCTTCTACTGAACACCTGCCCCAACTAAACCCCCAACTTACTAACAAGAAAAAGCTAAAGTCCTTCTAAGGGCTACAAAGCCCTACATGATCTTCCCCTGACCTCCCTGTGACCGATCTCTCGTTTCCACATCCTATTGCTGTTCTCCTAAACAACTCTGCTGCAGCCAACACTGGCTGCCTTGCTATTCCTCACACACTAAGTTTCCTGTCTGATGGCCTCTGCACTTACCGTCTGCTCTTCTACCATGCTATGATCTGAATGTTTATGCCCCTCCAAAAGTCCTATGTTGAAACCTAATCCTCAATGTGTTACAAGGTAGGGCCTTTGAGCAATAATTAAGTTATGAAGGCGGGGCCCTTGGGAATGGGATTAAGCGCTCATTTTAAAAGCAGCCCCAGAGAGTTACCACTGAGGATGCAGTAAGAAGGTGCCGTGTACTCCCTCACCAGACATCAAATCTGCTGGTGCTTTGATCTTGGACTTCTCAGCCTCCAGAAATGTAAGAAATAAATTTCTGTTGTTGACAAGCTATCCAGTTTATGGTATTTGATTGTAGCACCCTGAACAGCCTAACACACACCAATTATCTACTTGGCTCACTCCCTGACTTCCTTCAGAGACCTTCTCTATCTGATATTTGTATTTACTTAATTTCCCCCAACTAAGCTGTAAGTTTCCAGAGGTTAGGAATTTTGTTTTAAATAAAGAGTAACTCCTAATACTTAAAATCCAGTAGGCACCAAACAAAATCCTGTTGAATGAATCACAGCAACAAAACTGATCAGTGCAGAGCCAGGCTTCCACTGAGTAGCCTCCAACTACTGGTCTGGTTCCTCAGGCCTGGCTAGTCACTGAGAGACTATTACGTCTCTGGCTTGAAAATTACATGTTAAATAACTAAGACAGGTTGTGCTTGTCTCTACCAAACTTCTGGTCCTCTGAAAGTCTTCTAAGAAAGTTAAGATTGAATGTAAAGAACTTGTTCCAATAGGTGTCTCTGTTTAATAGAATAAAATTCCTTCTGGCACTTTTTCCAATTTCAGAATGGATGGATGGAGAAACACAAATTAAAACAATTTTCTGGGCTCGGCGCCTATAGCTCAACCGGCTAAGGCGCCAGCCACGTACACCTAAGGTGGCGGGTTCGAATCCCCAGCCCTGACCCGCCAAACAACAATGACAGCTGCAACCAAAAAATAGCCGGGCGTTGTGGTGGGCGCCTGTAATCCCAGCTACTTGGGAGGCGGAGGCAGGAGACTCGCTTGAGCCCAGGAGTTGGAGGTTGCTGTGAGTGTGATGCCACAGCACTCTACCCAGGGGGACAGCTTGAGGCTCTGTAAAAAAAAAAAAAAAACAATTTTCTGGATCCTTATTTTCAAATTCTTCCTTCAGAAATAATCTTCCTGATTATCTATGCTTCTTTATTTTCTCAGCTCTGCCCATATAGTCAAATGCTCTGGTTATTCACACTACCTAATTAACTCTGCAAATTAAGTCGTATGAAATTACAAATGAAAATTCTACCAGAATTCAGATGCAAGACTAGATTACATAATCTAAATTTTAAACTACTGCTACTGTTTCTGTACTCTCTCAAAGGGGCTTAATTTCTCATGAATAACTAGGAAGTGTATCTTCTCTTTGGATAGGTTGTATATAAGACTCTACCTACAGAATTTATTCAATCGTGATCAATTCTAAATGATTATTAAAGTCATTAAACATTAAAGTCATTCTTAGAAGCCTTCAGAAGTATAATTTCACTGATTATTTTTACAAATATTGCATCATTGCGTACTTTAAAAATAAAGTATATTGGGTGGCGCCTGTGGCTCAGTGAGTGGGGCGCCGGCCCCATGTACCAAGAGTGGCAGGATCGAACCTGGCCCCAGCCAAACTGCAAAAAAAAAAAAAAACCAGCCGGGGGTTGTGTTGGATGCCTGTAGTCCCAGCTACTCAGGAGGCTGAGGCAAAAGAATCATCTAAGCCCAAGAGCTGGAGGTTGCTGTGAGCTGTGATGCTACAGCACACTACCGAGGAGGACAAAGTGAGATTCTGTCTCTTTAAAAAAACAAAAAAAAGTATATTTTTCTCTGCGAGCAAAAAAAGAGGCACCATGTAACAACAGATCATAATCATAGTTATTACAAAACTGCAAATATGTATCTGAAGTGTGAAATGCTAATATTTTATAACTCTTACAAAAATACAAAATTTTAAACAATTTTATATTCAATAATGAAATGAAAATGCAATGTCTGAAAATTAAATTTCAGTATAAGTTCAACAGTTCAGTGAAATTTCTGATAACCTATGGGAGGAGGGATGTGCATTTCCTATTCAGTCATGTGAAGTGTACCTGGAATGACTATTGGCAAATGTTAATTCTTTTTCTACCCTGATGACAATATTAACAGCGTTGTATGAGGGGCTCAATCAGGTAGTATGAAATTCTAAGTCTTTCACCCCATAATCATGAAAGCAATGAAATGTCATCTTCTTCCTGGTACTAGGTCTCAAGTAGAGACAAGATATCTACCTTAACTCAACAATCCTCAAAAGTAGAAATAAAAAGAAAAGAATTTTATAAATTAGTGTCTCGAAATAAAAAAGGGGGGGGAGAGTAAACAAACAAGAAAAAGAGAAAAAAGCCCCTGCACTACTGGTTGGGCTTCTCTTCAATGGCACCCCAAGTCCTCTACTGCCCCAAAAGCTTAATAGCTCCTTCTACAACTTCCAGGACCACCCTAGAAGAAGCTTCAAATTCCTCCATATTTCTTAGGTACGAACCCCTATCCAACAGTCTAAAAAGATTACAAAGTACAAAGTAAGAAAAACTTCTTCAATACAGACTTTGGATAAAATCCATTTCTATCTTCCCAGAAAGAAAGAAAGGAAGCGGCTGAGATTGAGTAAGTCTAAGTGGGAAGATGACAATTTAGGGTGAGACATGGCTGCTTGTTCTCACATTCTGGAGGGGCCGGAAAGTAAAGCACAGGTGTGAGGGGAACATTTTTTCCCTTCCGCACAGTCTGGGGGCTGCAAATGTCTTCTCCAGAATGCCAGAGCAAAAAGACGGCATCACCACCCCCAGGCTGATGGTCCCGTCCAGCCTGTCACTGGGACTGGAACTTGAAGAACTGGGAAGGCGGACAAGTCTGTGGTTCTGAGGAGAGCCCGGAGCGACGAAGCTCTGCCCTCCAGGCCCGTCCCCCTCGGACGAAAGGGGGTCAAAGCCCGGCCTCCTTTCCGCCCGGACCCGCGCTTACCTGCTGCACCCCGAGAAACTGGTAGAAGTTGAGCTGCACCTCCTCCACCAAGTCAAACAACTCCAGGTCTCCGCTCTCCCAGCCGCGCGCCGGCCCCGCGGCCGCCAGCAGCAGCAGCCGCCACAGCGGCGGCGGCGGCGGGAACCGCACGAGCCCCAATTGGCCGCACCGAGGGAGCCGCGCCAGCGAGCTCGGAGCCGTCATCGCGCCAGGATCGGAGAGGTCACTCGCCACGCACTGCCGTCGGCCGAGCCCCGGGACGTGGCGGGCAGCGCGGGCTGTGGGCAACAGAGCCGGTCAGTCGGAAGCGCGGGCAGCGGTTCTGGAGCCGCCCCCCAGGCGGCCGGCCCCAGAGGCAGCGCGAGGGTGGCGGGAGCCGGCGGCCGGACCCAAGGGTGAGCGGGCGGGGCCGCAGCCGGCTCTACCTTCCGCGGACCCTCGCCCCCAGGCCTACAAACAGCTGGAGAGCCAGCGCCTGGCGCTGGGCTGGCAGAGGGGGAGAGGCTTCCCTTCGCCTCAGCCTATCGCAGGCCTCGCTTCCGGTGACATCACGTCTCCTAGCAACCGCGGGGCGGGGGCGGGACCGGAAGTGGGGGCGCTGGGAGCCCCGGAGCTGGGCCGGGGGAAATGCCTCTCAGTCACTGGAGCGCTCCGAGGAGTTGGACCTCCCGAGGAGCTGTACCATTAAGACACATGGGCAGTTATAGACATCACGCATCTACCTGGAACATCCCGTATATAGACATCCCGCGAAATAGCTATCGTTTTGTCCTTCTATATTGAACACTGAAAGCATTTTGAAGCCTGATTTATTGATTATGGCTTCTGCTCCACACATGTAATTATTCCATCGGCAAAGAGAAGGGAAAATGAACTAGGCCTGAAAGAGGCAAATCTTGCTGAGAGAATCTTTTTGCGAGAAGTGAAGCAGAAAAGGAATTTGAGCCAAGGCAAAACGTATGAATTAAGACTTACAGGCAAAGTACCATAAAATAGCGTACTAGAATTAATAATGATGACTCAATCATAGTTTTAGGAGAAATATAGTCTATGCACCTTAATTGGGGTTCTTTTCCATTTGAGATGTTTTTAAAAGACACAGACTGAAAGCTTATTTTATTTTGTAACAATGTCTCAGCTCCTGGTGTTACATTGCTTCTGTTCAGTCTCTTTTTAATTTTTTTTCCTCCACTCCTATTGTTCTCATGTGTAAACTTTTTTTTGCTTTCTCACCTTTCTCTTTCCTGATTCCCTACTCTACTTGAGAAAGTAGAAGGAACTGCTCTTATAATGCAGAAAGCTAGCACAATTTTGAAGGTTTGCCCTCGTGCTTTTCCCATTGTGGATCTGGCCAGTTAAATCAAGCTGGTAATCAAGCCAGTTAAATCAAGTTTTAATGATAAAACTACTTTCACTCTCCTAGTAAGAATATGCTATTATGTTTGATAAAGGCTAGAAAAGAACTATCTAGGAAGCAAATCTTACTGAAGAAATCCTATTATTGTGAGTCTTAAAAATATTTTTAAATAAATCATAAATGAATGCAAGCATATCTTTCTTAAAATAGTAGACATGCTTGAATTAATCACACAGACAATAAAAATTGTTGATGAACATGTGGAGAAATTGGAACCTTCAAAAATTACTGGTGGGAATTTAAAATGATACAGCTCAAGCAGCTCCTATAGCTCAGTGGGTAGGGCACGGGCTCCATACACTGGAGCTGGTGGGTTCCAGCCGAGCCTGGGCCTGTTAAACAACCACAACTGCAACCAAAAAACAGCTAGGTATTGTGGTGGGCGCCTGTAGTCCCAGCTACTCAAGAGGTTGAGACAAGAGACTAACGTAAGCTCGAGAGTTGAGATTGCTGTGAGCTGTGATGTCACAGCACTCTAACCACGGTGACAAAGTAAGACTCTGTCTCAAAAAAATAAATAAATCTAATGATATGGCCCCTTTGGAAAACAGTTTAACAATTCCCTCATTCTACTAAGTGAAAGGAGTCAGTCACAAAAAACTTACATATTATATAATTTCATTTATGTGAAAGGTCTAGATTAGGGAAACTTATAAAATAGGTTAGTAGTTCCTGAGGGCTTGGGGTAAAGGATGTTGGAGATTGATTGCTAATGGGGGTAAGATTTCTTATAGAGGTTAGGAACATGTTTTAAAATTACTGTGATGGTTGCATAACCCTGTGAATATGTTTTTAAAAAAAACATTGACTTGTACACTTTAAATGAATGAACTGTATGGTATGTCAATTATATCCCATTAGGCTGTTAAAAGAGAGAGAAAAAAAACACAATCACACAGATACAATATGCTCAGCAAACTTCAAGTACGTTAAATGCAACAAAACAAAACAAACCTAAGTATATCATAATAGAAACTGTAGAACAGTTTGTGGGATGAATGAAGGCAGTTAGCTTCAAAGAGAATCGGTAGTCTTAAATGTCTTAAAGAAGGAAGGCAGAATTGATGAGCTCCTTGTTCAACATAAGGAGTTATGTAAATAACCATAGAAGAAACCTAAGTGGAGATTTCAATGAGGACATCTAGCTGTTTTCTTTTTTTTTTTGAGACAGAGCCTCAAGCTATCCCCCTGGCTAGAGTGTCATGGCATCATAGCTCACAGCAACCTCCAACTCCTGGGCTCAAGCGAGTCTCCTGCCTCAGCCTCCCAAGTAGCTGGGACCACAGGCCCCCGCCACAAGGCCTGGCTATTTTTTGGTTGCAGCCGTCATTGTTGTTTTGGCAGGCCTGGGCTGGATTCGAACCCACCACCTTAGGTGTATATGGCTGGCGCCTTAGCCACTTGAGCCACAGGTGCCGAACCATCTAACTGTTTTCAATGCAGTGCTTACACAAGTGAGCTGGGAGCATATTAGCTCAAGTATAGTTAAATATTTTTTTTAAATTCATCATTTTGTAGAATCTGGTATTGACAAGGTTTAAGCTGTATCTAAGATAGTGTGAGGCTAAGATGCGCTGGAAGGATATGCACGGAAGAATCCAGGATGTTAGATGGGTCATCCACTGAGAGGTTAATAGACGTTCATTACAAAAGAACTTGAACATCATAATGACCACTATTTTCTAGGGAAGAATGTGAAAGGGTATTGGTAATTTAATAGACGAGAAGGACTCAAAGAATGAATTAGCCATCTGGTAGCCTATCCCTCCCTTTTGGGTAAGATCAAATTTAACTATATCAAACAGAATTGGATATGATATTTGTTACAAATGAAACCAAGCATCTCTTAAAGTCGCCATTAGTGGACTATTCAGCCCATGATTTAGAAATATGTTGTTCTCATTAAATCCTGAAATGTTCTCATTAGCTCCTGTATGGCTATTTCTCAAATACATGAGCTTGATTTTCCGAGATATCATTGTTCTTTAATGGAATGTTATCTTCATTCGGTAATTTATTTATCAAAGCACCATTCACAAACTCAAATTGAGTTGACAAAGATTAGAAAAATATTGTTTTGGTGAAGCACCTCCTTGGAAAATAATCCCTTTTGTATTGGAGTATTGAATTTTAATCACTTTAATCACTTTGAAGGTCCTCATAAACAAATATGGATGCTCTACATATTATAAATAATAAATATATTTCTAACATATTGACACTATGATTTCCATTTCTCTGAATAATGTCCAACTTACTCACATAATCTCTTAATGAATAAGAGAGCACTTTCTAGAGCCATACTGAATAAACTTGAACCCTGGCTCTACCACTTACTACCTCGCTGATCTGTTTCAGTTTCCATATTTCTAAAATTAGGATAATATTACCACCAAAATCATATGGGTATTATTGGAACTAATTGACATAATTCGTGCCTGGTATCTAGTAATTGGTATTTAAAATTTGTTTTTATCATTTTATGGGAAGTTTCCATCTATACTATATTAAGGTCTCCATAAATACATCTTATTTGTTTCTAAATGTTCACATGGCTTTGAAGATATTTGTTATGAAACTGAGGCTGTGATACCTCACTTCACTAAAAATTTATCCAATCATTTGCTTGCCCCCCAGTGAGAGGTAAGACTGCCTTTACAAAATAATGACTGTAGGGCGGTACCTGTGGCTCAGTGGGTAGGGTGCCAGCCCCATATACTGAGGGTGGTGGGTTCAAACCCAGCCCCAGCCAAACTGCAACAAAAAAAAGCCAGATGTTGTGGTGAGTGCCTATAGTCCCAGCTACTTAGGAGGTTGAGGCAAGAGAATCGCCTAAACCCAAGAGCTGGAGGTTGCTGTGAATTGTGATGCCAGGGCACCCTACTGAGAGCGACAAAATGAGACTGTCTCAAAAAAAAAAAAAGGGTAAAAATAAAAATAATGACTGTAAAAAACAAATTAATATTTGTATTCAAATTCCACAAAAGCATATTATCCATAACTTTCCTACTAAATTCAGCTTAAGGTTAAATAATAGATTCTGAATTAAGAGCATGCACCTAGTTAAACAAAATGGAGAAAATACTCCCATTTAACTATTTTTACTGTATTTTCAGCCAGTGACATTTTCTGTTTTACTTGGACTTTAATGTGTCATAAGAAAATCCATGTTACCATTTCTTTCTTCCAGCATCTTCTGATACTTCCAGGATTATCAATTTTTCAAAGGTTTCTAGTAATTCATTTAACTAACATTTTTAAATTTGAAAATTTGTTTTTCTGCCTTTTCCTTTAACCAGCCCAGTCTCGCCTACTGACTCTTCAACAAAGCTAGAGCACAGCAATCCCTGTATGTCCTTCATTCACAAAAGCCTCCAATTAGACTGCAAAAGAAAATTTTAACAGACCTCTTCATCATCTTTTCTTGCAGGCTGAACAGCTTGGTTCTGGCAGTCTGCCTTTCAGCCCTAATATTGTTGTGATACCAAATTGCAACAAAAGGGAAAACATTACAAAGTTGCTGTTCACCTCAATCAGCAGGCTCCAGCTATCTTATTAGTTTATTTATAGAAATTGCATGCCTCATAAATGCCTATTATTAAATTTACTGAAAGTAGGCAGCATTCCATACCATACTGGGCTAGCAGTGTGTTCAACAAAGAAACAAATAGAGATAGATTAAGGAGAACTTAGTTCTAAATGACAAGATATGGGAAATTTAAATTTGCCTTCTAAATATGACTACTGCACCACACTCATTTAAACCAAGCTATACAGCCCAGCTTCATCTCTCTCTGCCTTGAACATATAAAGCTGTATTATTTTTGCTCATCACAGGAGGGCTTTTGGTGCCAAGATTCCATAAGCCTTTTAACTTAAAATAAATTAAATAGGCTCAGCACCTGTAGCTTAGCGGCTAGGGCGCCAGCCACATACACCAGAGCTGGCAGGTTCGAGCCCAGCCCGGGCCTGCCAAACAATAATGACAACTACAAACCAAAAAAGTAGCCAGGCGTTCTGGCAGGCCCTTGTAGTGCCAGCTTACTTGGGAGGCTAAGGTAAGACAACCACTTAAGCCCAAAGGTTAGAGGTTGCTGTGAGTTGTGACTCTACC